AGAGCTGTGAGGGTCGTGTGTACACACATGGGCCACAGCAGAGCTGTAAAGGATACAGAGTTATCATTGGTTGTCTCTGAGTTTTTTAGTTTGGAATCATGCATGCTGAAGATTGTTCTGCCAGCTGTTGATCTTGCTCCTTGGCATGTTCATCGTAGTAAAATCCCAATTGCTGGGTTTTTATTACTTTATGATATTTTAGGGGGCAGTATGATAGCAGCTCAGGCATAGACACAGCACCCAACAGAACAGAATACAAGCACAGAAACATCTTACCTGTGGATATTTATTATATGACAGACGTGACAATGAATTGCTGTGGTGCTGTGTCATTTGACATGGATGTTCATGTGAAAAACAGTGACTCTTGACTCCTGTTTCATAACACATTAAAAATGCATTGTGGGGGGGAATGGAGGGAAGGGGAGGGAAATGGAAGGAGGGGAGGAGATGAAAATTTTTAATAATAATAATAACTGAAAAAATGCATTGTGGGACCTGCTGCCAAGCCTGATCCCCAGAACCACTTGGTGGAAAGAAAATCAATTCCCTCAGTTTGTCATGCCATGTCATGTGCATGTACACACACACACACACACACACACACACACACACACACAATTTCAAGCAAATGAAAAGCATCTTAGGTTGAAGATGTGGCAGAGAAATAAGAGTACATACTGAGTTTAATAGCCAGCACCAAAAAAGAAAAAAAAATGCTATAGTATAACTCAGTTTACAGATTGAGAAACAGGGCTAGAGATGGGAGGTGAGCCTCAACAAGGTAGTGTCAGAAGACAGACAGTCACATATAGTCTTGTTAAAACAGTACTCTGTTCTGTACTGGCCACTGATAAAGGAAACTGCCTATTCCTTCTGATGAGAACTTTAGCAACTCAGAAGAGTAACCTGAGGGGAAAATGGTAAACAATTTTACATGAAAGGTTGCTTTTTAAAAATATGAACACATTATGATTAAATGTCTTTGTTTTGGGGGGTTGGGGCATAAAATTTCATTATGTAGCTCTGTCTGACCTGGAACTTCCTATGTTGACCAGACTATACTTGAACTGACAGAAATCCACCTGTCCCTGCCTTTTGAGGGTTCAAATGTCTCACTATCATGCCCAGCAGATTTCTCTCTCTCTCTCTCTCTCTCTCTCTCTCTCTCTCTCTCTCTCTCT